TACTATGTATATGGAAATGATCCTTTTTTGGTGCTAAAATTCATAATTTAAAAAAAATGTGAAGCACTTTGTCAACCTTAAGGCACTAAAAAAGTGATTATGCTGTTCATATTCTTTGACCAGCAATCTCATTTCTGAGCATGTACATTGAGAAAGTAGAATCCATTGATAAGCAAGCATACTATATGACAGGCACCATGCTAAGCCAAAGACAGAAACAAATGTCCAGAAGACAACGAAATACCTATAGTAGCACTCTTTGTGACAGCAAAGATCTATAAACAAAGTGAGTGACCACTGATTAGGAAATGGATAAAAAAAAACCTGCCATGGTAAATTAATGTAATGTAATATTTTGTATAGTAAACAATGAAGAATATAAGAAATTCAGAGAAACCTCAGAAGATTTATATGAATTGATACAGAGAAAACTGAGCAGAACCAACAAAAATATACACAATGACTACAATAATATGAATTAAAATATCACTAGAAAGAAAGATGGATTATGAATAATGGAAAAAAAACACTGAAAGTTCCAGAGAAAAGATAATGAAACATACCTCTTTTCTCACAGCAGAGAGGTAGGACAGAGGGGAAAGGGAAGAAGTAATAGGTTTTCTTTTGGGATGCTTTTGCTTAATTTGCGAACAAACGTTCGCAGTTTGTTTATTTGTTTTTATCACTGTCATTGAATCCCAAATAGTGATTCTATCTGGAGAAGTAAAAGGAAATTATTGTAATATAAAGACAAAAAACATCAAGAAAATGTACTTTAAAAATAAAAAAGGGGCAGCTAGGTGGCGCAGCAGATAGAGCACCGGCCCTGAAGTCAGGAGGACCTGAGTTCAAATCTGACCTCAGACACATAACACTTACTAGCTGTGTGACCCTGGGCAAGTCACTTAACTCCAATGGCCTCACCAAAAAATAAGTAAATAAATTTTTTAAAAATGGTTGGCTAAATGGCCTTTCAGTTCTAAACCTTTGAACCTGAGACATGTGCCCAGAAGAGGCTTTAAGACTACAAGACCACAGAATGATGTTCAACAAATAAGTACGATGTTAATAATATCTGTCCTCAGTCTAAATAAGGTAGAGAGGTATAATAACACTTAAGGTCAGCCCAACCTGGAGTAGGAGGAGTAGGCAGTCATCCAAGGGGGATGATTAGAGAGGTATTTCAAGGCTCCACCTTGGAAAAAATTTCTCAGACACTGCCCTTCACCTCCTACCTGAAACCCCTTCCACTGGAGCCCCTCCAATGAACTAGATAACAAAGGAAAGACATTGTCTCCAGAAGGTCATAAAAATGTGTTACTTGGAAAAAGAGAATGAATCCTGGGAATCTCCTTTAATTCCCTTCCATTCTTCACTATTTCAATAGATTTATGATCTCATCAGTGTGGATAATCTCAACAGAAGAGATTGTAATCCATCCATAAGTCCTACAGGTAGGCTCTACCCACCATTCAGGGAGACCTCCTCTTAAGTTTCCTGACATTATGTGTGTACCAATGTAGCACAATGGCTATCCAACCACTGCCATACTCTTCTTGTCTTCTAGTTTCATTTATAGGAAAAAATATCAATATTGCTACAACTCAGTTTCTTCAGTAGTCTATTGGCTGAGATCTTAGGGCAAGGACCTCACATTTAAAGGATCAACAAGTAAGTTAAGGTTTAGAAAACTCTGTAAACTATGTAATCCTTGGTACTATCTGCTCTGTTACCCTGTCATTTTGACTACAGAAGCTGATGAAGGACAATGAGGATTGACAGAGGGCCAATTTGCACTTTTCTTTTGTTTCTTGGGCTGCCAGGACCAAAGAATTCATCACTTAATGAATGGCCAGCATACTGGCAATGAGCCTTTCCATACTTAGCTCAACTTGCCCTTGGAAAGCAAACTCAATTGCATTAGAAGCCAGCCTTTCAAGTATAGTAAAACTCACCTAAGTTTACACTTCACTGGAATGTCCTTCAAGAGCCCAGGATGATTTCCACATCCTGATGAAACATCAAAGTAGAAATCCCATTACACAAATTAATTCTCAGATTAACTAAAAATCATCTTAGAATCATAGGTTTGTAAGTGATAGAATAAGGCTGTACTATTGGAAAGGATCTCAAAAGATTTCCTAGTCCAGCTCTCTACAGGTAAGGTATTATTATCCCCATTTTATAGATAAGCAACAATATCACACAACAAGAGAAGAATAGTACCCAAGCATTCTAATAAGCAGTAGAGAACTAGGTCCTTTGGGACATAAAAAGCTGTTAACCCCAAGAGGATCTATAATTCTGTGAGTATTGTATACACAGTTCTGGGCATCATACTTTCAGGGAACCATTATCTAACTAGAGCAGGAGTTACTGCCTTTTTTGTGAGTCATGGACCCCTTTGGCAGTTTGGTAAAACTTATAAATTCCTCAAATTAATGAAATTTTAAAATTCATAATTGAAGGAAATGATATGTTTCAGTTAAAGGTTAATGAAAATAAAGACATTTTCTTTTATCCAAGTTCATTGACCCCCCCCCCCCACTCCAAATCTATCCACACACCCTTGGGGAGTCTGCATAGCCAAATTAAGAATCCCTGAACCAGATAGTATCTAAAAGAGGATGACTAAGGGTAGATGGGGCAACTAGGTGGCACAGTAGATAAAGCTCTGAGCCTGGAGTCAGGAAGACTCATCCTTCCGAGTTCAGATCTAGCCTCAAACACTTACTAGCTGTGTGACCCCAAGCAAGTCACTTAATCCTGTTTGCCTCAGTTTCCTCATCTGTAAAATCAGCTGGAGAAGGAAATGGCAAACCACTCTAGTATCTGCCAAGAAAACTCCAAATGGGGTCATGAAGAGTCAGACACAACTGAACAACAAGATAGAAGGGGTTTGGAAATCATGTCATATAAGGAACAATTGAGATGGAGATGTTTATCCTGGAGAATAAGACTGAGTAGGAGCATGATGGGTATAAAATACTTGAATAGCTTTTATGTGAGGGAGGAAACTAGATTTATTCTAGGTTTCCTTCAAAGGACGGAGTTATCTAGTGTATTGGAAAAAGCATTAGATTTAAATCAGAAGACTGGATTCAAATCTAGGCTCTGTCACTACCTATTCGATTTCAGACAAATCATTTTATCTCTTGAGACCTCAGTTTCCCTCTCTGTAAAATGAAAGGATTAGATCAAATTATATCTAAGATATCTTCCTGTTCTAAAATCCTATAATCCTTTGTCTAAATCCTTTGTCAAAGGGGAGTCACAAAACAGAACAGTGAAAACTTGCCCTCCTTCATAGCTCTCCCTAAGGCCAGCCCTACTCATACAACCTAAGTATGCTTCCAATACTTTCAACTACTTAAGGTACCACATTCCTTCTAGGTTCTTGATAGCCTTTCTGAAACTGAAATGATCCCTCAAAAGGAGACATAAAATTCCTGGAATTTATGTCTGGACAATATTAGAATCTCTGGCATAAGGATGAGGGAAAAAAGAACCTACTAATGTGCACTCTGATAAAAGTCACTGGAGATGGACTAGAATAACATACAAACATTTAATTTTGCACAATTGAGTGAAAGAGACTGATGGGGTCTTTACTGAGGATATGACAAAGGTTATATGAGAAGAGAAGGCTAAGTAAGCTAACCCCATACAATCCAGCCAGAGATTCCAGAATCCTCCTCAAAACACAATCCAGAGGGCACTACAGTTTTGTAAATACAAGTCTATCCTAATCTTCTCCCTACAAAAGCCACAGGGTGGATAGAGACTTAAAAAGATCATTTCCTCTTATTCACTTCTTGGAAATCTACTGACAGCTCATAGTTAACATTTCTTTGAGGCTAACAAGAATGTGTTCCCTTTTGCTGCTTTTGTTAGTGGAGGGAGGCAGTTTTCTTGGAGACGAGATTAGTTGGACCCAGCTAGCAAGAGTCCACAGATGTCAAAAGCTGCCGCATCTTTGCTTGGGGCGGGGGGGGGGGGGGGGTTGCCAAGACACTGTCCTATTTAAAGAACCATCTTTGAGGTAGGGAGCAAGGACCGGTGCAGAGGTGGGATGAGATCAAACAGAAAAGCCCTAGATCCTGAACTCTGGGCGAATGTCCCGTTGGAACTTTCGGAGTTGGCTTTTCCATCTTTGGCAGCTTAAACAGAGTTCTTCTTTATGCTAAGAAATCAGATTTGAGAAAGAGGGGAAGTAGTAAATGTGTGTGTGTGTGTGTGTGTGTGTGTGTGTGTGTGTGTGGAGGGGAGGTGGGGGAACGAAGCCTTTCTTAGCCTGCTGATTTAACCACCACACAAAAGGCTTCCAGACCAACCACATACTTTCTTATCCACCCTCCCAACCACTGCAGTACTCGGAGTTTAAAAACACTTAATGGATATCTTAACCTGCGTTTGTTTGTTTTTTTTAAGTAAATAAGTAAATAAACGAAATCATTCCCAATGGGATGAAAGAGAATTTCAGGCTACTCTGAAAACTAATTTACTTTCAGCCGGAAGGAAATTATCAAAGGCAATGGAGAAAGCCCCTCCAACAAGGCTAGGAGTAACGGAGTGGAGGGAAAAGCACTCCAAAGATGGAAACGGGACTCCCCGGTACCCTCGCTGGCTGATGGAGAGCAGTTCCGGGGGCACTCTTCCCCGAGGGGACCCCTCCAGTCCCAGGGCAGCCCAGTTACAGGAAGCCCGACCAGCGAAGGTAGCCAAAAGAGGCAGGCAACAAGCCAAGAAAGCTCCCTAGGCCCGCTTCGTCCCGGGACCCCAGCTGGGGCGGGGGCGGGGGGGGGGGCGGAGGTGGCGAAGGCCAGAAGGCAGTCTAGGCCCCCCGGCTTACAGGGGGCTGGGGGGATGCCTGCGGGAGCATCCCCCCACTCCGAGATAGGGGCAGGGGTCTCGAGGCCACGGCCGCCCCCTCTCGGCTGGAAAAAGCCGGTCCCCTCAGCTCGTCTCCCCTGGGAAGAGCCGCTGGCACCAGGACTCACCCCGAGAAGACACACTTTCAGCTCCCGTATCGCCATCATCTGCTTGGGGCTGGGGCAGGGCAGGGGGCTTGCATTCTCCGGGAGGAGTCCCCCGAGTGTCCCGCGCAGCCAGCGCCGCCGCCGCCGGCTCCTCTCTACTGGTCGGGCTCTCTCTTTCTCTCTCTCTCTCTGTCTTTCTCTCTTAGCCAACCAGGGAGCGGAAACCAGCTGCTGCTATTTCTGGGCAGCCCCAGCCCCAGCCCCAGCGCCGCCACCACCACTACCACAGCCTCCCACAGCAGCCGCCGTGGACGATCACATGTCTGCAGCGCTAATCTTCTTTCCGAGGCTTCGGGTCTACCGGCTCTCGTACCCTAAACTCCAACGAGCTTACTAGTCGAGACGCCCTCTGGGGTTCACTTGGTACCCGGAGCAGAGACACCTCCGTTGCTATACGTGATACCCCTAACTCAAAACAACGCTGCAGTCCAAATCCCCTGGACTCCTCGTCCCCCACTGCCCCAAATCTCGACAATCTAACAACCCCAGTGAAATGCCACTCTGGGTTCTCAACGCAGTCCGAGCCAGCCGAGTGTTGGGCTGGCCTATGGGTGAATTTTATCTGTATTAGTGTATCTCTGAAATGAGCGTGGTGGGAGTCAGGAACTGGCTGTTTTCTGAAGGCTCGACATCCTCGTTCCACCACTCCCGACTTCCTTACCTCCTTCTCTCCCCACACCCCCACCCCAAAGCCCCCAGCAGCAAGACAACAGTTTTCCCAATACAACATTAAAGTGGACTTTAAAAGCCTCTTTGGAATCCAAGGAAATACCTCTCCACTGTGGGAGTCCGAAATAGAAAACAAGTGTCATCTTGGAGGGTTTGGATACAAGGAGGATATCCCTGTTTCACAAAGAAAATCCTACAGTCCACAGTATCCTAACTCTCCAAAGCAATGCTTTCAGAAAGAGTATCCTTATCTTTTGTTAACTACAGTAAGGGGAAAAAAAAATCCCGTGAAGAAATACTGCTTCCTCTTCTACCTACATGTTGCCTGGGTAGCCTCACAAGCTTCTACTATTAACCATATGTAAGAAGGGAGAAGTTAGGCAGGAGGAAATGAACATGGAAGCTACCTTGTCACTTGGCATGGATTGGACGTCATGTAGTCACCACCACCCCCACCACTGATATCTTTCCACGTTGTATGAGTGATCCTGGGGCAAGCAGTTTAGATCAGATTTAAAATCAAATAATTCCAGATGAGCCATCCTAACTCACTTAAATCAAATTGTCTCACTTAAAAACAAAGAAACAACAACAACAAAAAACATTAAAAAAAAAAAGACAATACTCCATAAGGTGGGGCTCTACCAAAAGAGATTTGACATACTGAGGGTTTAGTGGAGTAGGTTGGATCTCTTACTGGATAGTGAGGAGTTATTTTCTAATCCACTTTTTCTGCCATTTCACTTGTCTGACTCTTTGTGAGTCCATTTGAGGTTTTCTTGGCAAAAATACTAAAGTAGTTTGCTATTTCCTTCTCCAGCTCATTTTACAGATGAGGAAACTAAGGCAAACAGGATGAAGTGATTTGCCCAGGTTCATATAGCTAGTGTCTGACGCCAGATTTGAACTCAGGTCTTCTGGACTTCAGGCCCCCTCTATCCATTGTGCCACTTAGCTGCCCTTCTAATCCACTCCAAGGGCCAATTTGATGTCGGGATAGCCTACCTCTCTTGTTGGTTCATCTGGTATTGAGGTGAAGGAGAGGGAAAAGCTAGACTACTTACCTGCCAAGCATGAGGGAGTCAGGATAGCTCCCTTAAGATTTTTTTTAATTAACTTAGCTGATCTGGACTGCTCACCATAGCATAAATTTTCCAATTATAAATATTGGGAAGAAAGCAGAAGTATTGAGGCCCAATCTTGGATTGGCTTTCCTCATTTCAATCAAGTGACAATGGGTTTGTCTATATTCTGTTCGGGTAAGCGTTTATCAAATGTTTCAAAGTCTGGATATCCTGCTGGGAAAACTCATCATTAAATTGAACTCTACAAAGAACTCCCTTATCAACCCTTCCTAGAAGTTGAGTAATATCTGCAAATCTAAATAACCAGTTGTAACACAACTTTGCATGTGCCCAGATCACCTTAGATGGAGACACCTGTGGGAGAAGTCAGGGACATGCTTCTTGGAGAAGATATTCTGTTCCCCCACCTTGTGGGTGCAAGCTGCCTCTTTCTTTCCATTGGCCATGTAGCCAGAACTAGCTGCATCCTTAAAACTACCAAACTGGTAAAGTCAGGATAAGTATCAAGACAGCTATGTGAGAGAAAGGTTATCTCCTTTCTCTTTTAGGTCTTGTGGTCTGGAGAAGCCAACTTTGGGTTTCGTTATGTTTCATTTGTCCTTTTCAGTTCTAGTTACAAGCTATGGAGATCCCAGATAGTGGGGCTAGAGCCATGGTAACCTTGGAGGCAAGATTCCAGGATGAATGTTGCTGCAGGGAAGCTCTGAGAAGCCAGGGTGTCAGGATACAAGCCCAGGGTGGCATTGGACTTGGAACTTAGAAGGACCATACTATAGGAAGTGAAGTAAACAGAAAATCTAACTCCCTTTCTTCACCAGAGACTGAGGTGATATGGATGGAAGAAGAGGATATTATACCTCCCAGGTGTTGTGGGAATGTTTATATGTTTGTTCTGGTTTTCCTTTGGAAAAACCAGTCTGTTAAGTGGTTAAATAGAACTGGGGTGCAGGAGACCAGTAAAATTTGAGGAACACTAATGGGGGGGGAGACTTGAGCCAATAGTAAAGAGACTCCTAACCCACTTGAATGTACAAGAAAACCATAGGGAAGGGTGAAATGTAGCACACCTGGCCTTCAGGCGGTGGAGACCAGGGTAGGCACTGTTACAGCTGTGCTCTCTCTTCTAAGCTTGTCTCTCATTTTCTTTTTCTTTTCAAAATTTGATTGATGTGTTTTCTACAGCACAGTCATTTCCATGTGGCTCCCTCACCTCCACTGGAAAAACCCTCCCATATAAAAAATAAAAGTTAAGCTAAAACTAGCAACCCAAAGGACCGACAATATGCATAGATACAACATTCCTCACCTTTAATCTCATTTGTATTTTCTCATCTGTTTCCTAGATCCACTTTCCTTATTCTCCTTAGTTCATACAGGCCTTCATAGTTTCTTATAAATTAATAAATAAAAAAGCATTTATTAAGTCCTTATTATGTGGCAAGTACTATGTTCTAGAAACACAAATACAAGGGGCAGCTAGGTGACACAGTGGATAAAGTACCAGCCCTGAAGTCAGGAGGACCTGAGTTCAAATCCAGTCTTGGACCAAATGCTAGATACTTATTAGCTATGTGACCCTGGGCAAAGTCACTTAACCTCAATTACCTAAAAAAAAAACACAAATGGGTGGGGGGGAAGGATAGTCCCTGCCCTTAAGAAGCTTACATTTTAATAGAAGGAGAAAACAAACAGAGTAGTGGTCAGGCAGGAGACTTTAGTTTGAAAAGTTACATGAATGCTGAGTGAGGTAACAAGGGAGTAGATTGACACACCCTTACCAAGAGCAGTGAGAGTTTGTTTTATCATGATTCCAGAACTGGAGAGCAGTGTGAAGAGAAAGAAGACTAGGGTCTACTTGAAATAGTAGACCAAGTGAGGCATCAAGACAGTGTCAGTCCAGAGCAGAATCTCCAGAGATATAAGAGATAGTCCTCTGGCAATGATTTATGATCCAGGAGGCAAAGTTTTCAAAAAGATGGTCAGGGAATACAGAATTGAGTAAAACACGGCTGGGATCTGCCAGAAATAGTGGATCAGGTAAGGCAGGTGGAGTAATTAGATTCATATAACACAAATTGTTCAGACCTTCTCCAATCAATGGGCTCCCACTTTGCTTCCAATTCTTTACTACCACAAAAAAAAAGTGATACTATGAATATTTTGGTATAAACTTGCTCAGGATTTGTATATGGTAGAGGGTTCCTTAGGTGAAAAAAAGAAATAAACAGTTCTATGATTTCTTAAAGATTTCCACATTGTTTTCTATAATGATTGGACTAATTCACAACTCCACCTATGATGTATTAGCGTGCCTTTCATCCCAGAGGACCTTCAAAAGTAACTGTTTCAGGGGCAGAGCCAAGATGGCAGAGTAAAGCTCCCAAACCCCTCCAAATACCTGTAAAAAAATGGCTCTGAACAAATTCTAAAGCAGCAGAACCCACAAAAAAACAGAGTGAAACAAATTTCCAGCCCAAGACAACCTGGATGGTTGATTGGAAAGGTATATCATGCCGGGGTAGGAGAGAAATGCAGTTTGGCGTGGGCGAGTAGGCCTCAGTGAATGTGGAGCAGGGTTTAGAGGACTGAATCACAGTAAGTTGTGGTGGTTTCCAGACTTCTCAACCCATGAACACCAAAGACAACTTAGAAGGTCAGTGGGAAAAGTCTGTATCTGCAGTGAGAGAGAGAAGAGTAGGGTCCCAGCCCCAGTCCCCAAGTTCGGCCCCAGGTGGCGGCTGCCTCCAGAGCTTCCAGCCCACAGACTAATGGGGAATTGAGTGGCTGATCAGAGGGGGATTGCAGGGATCTCTGCTGGTACAGGATTCTCTTGCTTTGCCTGGGCTTGGATCTGGGTCACAGTTCTGGGTGGTGGTCCTGGGGCAAGGAGGAGCACTAATGTGGTGGAGCTTGTAGTGGTGGTAGAAAGGAAATCCTCCTCACAGTTTCAAGACAGAAAAGATGCTTGTGGTCACTCATAGACCAGAGCACAAGCCAGGAAAGGAGTAAACACCTCTCCCTTGATTACAGCACCTTGGAAGAACTGAAAATTTACAGGTCCCTAGAAGTATCTCTGAAAACAGCTGTACAAAACCCCCAAAGCTTGGAACAGTACATTATCCACACTGGAAACACACTCCTACCTTAACAAAGAGTTCATAACTCAAGTAATTGGCTGGGATCATGAGCAAGCAGCACAAAAAGAGTCAGACCATAGAATCTTTCTTTTGTGACAAAGAAGATCAAAACATACAACCAGAAGAAGACAACAAAGTCAAAGCTCCTACATCCAAAGCCTCCAAGAAAAATATGAATTGGTCCCAGGCCATGGAAGAGCTCAAAAAGGATTTTGAGAAACAAGTAAGGGAAGTAGAAGAAAAACTGAGTGATAGAAGAAAATTATGAAAAAACAAGTCAACAGCTTGCTAAAGGAGACCCAAAAAAATACTGAAGAAAATAACACCTTAAAAAATAGCCTAACCCAATCAGCAAAAGAGGTCCAA